AAAGAATTATCACAAACCCTACACTGCAAGGTTGTGTTTTGACTGCACCAACAACATCGCTGAATACGACGCCTGTATACTAGGACTGGAAGTTGCCATCAATTTGAGAATAAAGCACCTCTAAGTATTTGGGGATTATGCATTAGTCATATACCAGGTTAATGGAGAATGGGATACTAAACACCCTAAACTGGTTCAATATCGGCATCATGTTTTAAAGTTAGCTGCGAAATTTACAGAGACCACTTTCAGTCATATCCAACAAGAAGAAAATTAAATGGCGGACGCTCTGGAAACTCTGTCGGCTATGTTCAAAGTAACTTGGCCGAACCACAAACCACGTATCACGATCAGGCATTTCGAAGAGCCCACACACTGCCTTGCTATTGAGGAAGGACCTGACAATAAGCCTTGGTTTTACGACATCAAAAAGTACATGGAAAGGCATGAATATCCATAAAATGCCTCTATCATTGACAAGCGAACCCTACGAAGGTTAGCTTCAAAATTCTTTCTGAGTAATGGAGTGGTATATAAAAGAAACTACAACATGGTACTACTCAGGTGTATGGAAAAGAAAGAAGCAGATACGCTTATGAGAGAAATCCACGAGGGTACTTTCAGAACTCATACAAATGGGCATGCCAAGGCTAGAAAAATTCTGCGAGCAGGGTATTATTGGTTAACAATGGAAGCTGATTGTTATCACTACACGAAGACATGTCATAAATGTCAGATCTACGTTGACAAGATAAATGTACCACCGACTCCTCTGAACGTTATGAGCTCCCCTTGGCCATTATCAATGCGGGGAATTGATATGATTGGCATGATCGAGCCGAAAGAATCCAACGGACACCGCTTTATATTGGTAGCCATCGACTACTTTACCAAATGGGTATAAGCAGCATCATACACCAACGTAACAAGTCAAGTAGTTACACGCTTCATCAAACAGAACATCATATGCAGGTACGGTGTCCCAAGCCGGATAATTACAGATAACGGGTCTAATTTAAACAACAAGATGATGAAGGAACTGTGCGACGACTTCAAAATCGAGCATCATAATTCCTCACCATACAAACCAAAGATGAACGGAGCCGTCGAAGCAGCCAACAAAAATATCAAGAAGATCATCCAGAAGATGGTGAAGACATACAAAGATTGGCACGAAATGCTTTCCTTTACCCTGCATGGCTATCGCACCTTTGTACGCACATCGACAAGCGCGACTCCTTTCTCACTAGTATATGGCATGGAGGCGGTACTCCCGGTGGAAGTTGAGGTACCATCACTTTGGGTCCTGAGGGAAACAAATCTGGAAGAAGCAGAGTGGGTGTAGACACGACTTGACCAGCTCAACCTTATTGAAGAAAAACGATTGACAGCTTTGTGTCATAGTCAGCTACATCAAAAGAGAATGAAGAGAGCCTTCAACAAGAAAGTCCGGCCTCGAGTATTCAAGGAAGGGGATCTAGTGCTCAAGAAGATTCTACTACATCACCTCGACTCACGTGGTAAATGGACACCCAACTACGAAGGTCCATATGTAGTCAAAACAACATTCTCCGGAGGTGGTCTCATCCTTACAACAATGGATGGGGAAGAACTACCGCATCCGACAAATTCAGACGCAGTAAAAAAATACTATGTATAAAAAACTCACTAAGCTCAAACCCTAAAAGGGCGACTTAGGCAAAAAGGAGCGTCCCGGTGGATCGAAAACCCTAAAGGGCGATCCAGGAAAAAATTAGGGGCATATAACAAAAAAAAATTCCCGGTGGATTGAAAACTCGAAAGGGCAATCCAAGCAAAAGTTAGGGATTTCATACAAAAAAATAAAGAACAAAAAGACTGCGATCTAAGAGCTAGGACTGCGAACCACAAAGGGAAGGATAGATTAGAATCATATAACTCAGAAGCAAAGGAGATAAGATCATTAAAAGGATATTGGGGGAACAGCAGTAGCGATTATCATTTTTCATTGTCATTTACTGTTTTAAAACTTTCTGTAATTACCTCTTTCTAGGAATTGCATCTTGTATTCTCACCTACTCAGAGGCATATCAATAAAACATTTGTTTTCTTTACATCTTTCGAATTATGTTTTTCTTTTCTCAAGATTTGTTTATAAAATACTACGATTATTACTTGTGAATATTGTCTTGAAATCATTTTGGGGAATTAACAAAATAAAAGCATTCGACAAAACATCGGAAAAAAACATTTTAGTTAGAAAGATATTGAAAGAAAATCCACGTCTACGTCCATGCACATGGCTATGCCTACTCCTACATCTACGTGTCCGTACACAAGGTCTACAACGCCTATGCCTACACTTGCAACACGAGGACTATGTTTGCACGTAACCACGCACATGTCTACTCCTGCGTCAACAAATACAAACTCTATACGCATGTCTGCGTCTACGCTTGCGCTTACAACATAAGAGTCTACACATATGCCAATATCTATGTCTTCATCTACGCACATGCCAATACCTATGTCTATGTCTACACATGCGCTCACAATACAAAACCAATGTTTAAACTTTGCTAACATTGTCCACTATGTTCAAGATCAACAATGCTACGACAACACACAACGCCAGGAATTGGTAAATCTAAGCTAATGGTTTAAAAGAGAGAATGACAAAAATAGTCTTCATAACATTTCAAGGCATACATGCATCTTACGCATATTTCATACATACACACATTTTTCATATCTCGAGCATACATACACTATGAATTCTTGCATATAATACGCATATATTCAGGGTTCCATATCAATGTCAAACATCATACATTTCGCTTACATCCAAACATCTCGATATCAGACATCATACGCATGTATCATGCAGCAAACAAACAATACTACCCTCGATTCAATCATCTAAGGGTCTATTAACCAAATACTTCTCTTGCGATCCAACCCGTCATCTAAGTCTCCATGTCGTAACGCGTTCAGCCCATTACCTAAGTCTCCATGCAATAACGAATGAAAACTCAATACATTGTCTCTAAGCCGCAATGTATCCTCAAAACTCAACACATTGCCTCTAAGCCGCAATGCGTTCTCCAAACTCAAACACGTTGCCTCTAAGCCGTAATGTATTCACGCTCGAAACATCGCCTTAGACTTCAAGCAGCGATGTCCGAAACCCAATTTGACTTATCGCCTCAGACTTCGGGCAGCGATCCACAAGCATAACATGTGGCCTCAGTCTTCAAGCAGCCATGCGCCATCAAGTGTTGTTCATCCTCCAAATGGGTGAATAAGCCAAGACATATGAAATTGCGCTCTTAAAACCACATGCCTCGTTATCAAACCCTGGTAAGCGATACATCATCAGCTTTGCCTACTTCCTGGAGACTCGTAAGGGTATGCTATATCAGTGTAACCTTATGTTTGTCGGACAAATTTTGGGATACTTCAAGTATTCAATAAACTTTAAATCAGAATGCGTAAGACTCGAGTTCTCTCATGCTATTCGACTGGAAGATAATTGAATAGGGGCAGCTGTCGTACCCCAAATTTGTCCTACCCCGATGATTTTATTTTTTAAGATTTAAATAAAAGAAATATATAATAAAAGATAGTATAGCAGTATCTGATGGCCCATCTTTACTCAAGACGATTAGGGGGTGTAGTTTAACTCGAGAAAATGGGGTTTTCTAAATCAAAAAGACTCATAAACTCGTTCGCATAGCATGTTGGACAATGGTCCATGCGACTCGAGAATAGAAAATTATTTCAAAAGAATAATAATTATTAAGTTCTAAATTAGGACATGCCATTTAAAAATAGTTGTTATTAGTAAAGGAGATTTTGAATTTAAGTATAATTAAGCCCATTTAGGTGTTATTATTGTTAGTGAAAGAAAAGGAGGTGTAATTTCTGAATAGCAGACCCATTTTCAAATAGTCAATGCAAAGTCCATTAAAATATTTTAAGACCCATTAGAATTTGGTATATTTCTGTTTGATTCGTTAATTGGCAAAGGGTGGGGTGTGGATACGAATTAAAGGCTCATTAAGGTTCTAACAAGGCTAATAATGTATTTTGTGATCTTGTATTGTTACTACTTTAGGGAAAAGTATTAGTATTAAGGCTTTTTTATTAAAAAAATAATTAAACAAAATATGTTTCTTTGTTAAAAAAACATAATACATTGCTGATGAAAATCACAATAATGTTCTTGTTAAAAACTATTTTTATAATTTACTTATTAGAGGTTTTTTTTGCTTCGAAAAAAGGCTAATTGGGCCTAGTGGTATTAAAAACTTTCTCTTGCTGTAATAGAAGATTGATATTGCTGGGATGGAAAGATAACGCAAGGCCCATTAAACCATTACTGCATTAATTGCAAAAATGTTGCACATGTTTTTGGCTATTAACAGTTACTGTAGAAATGAAATCGCTGTTCAAACTAAAATTGGACCAAATCTTTGCCTAAACTAAAACAGAATAATACCAAACCAATTGCATATCACAAAATCAAATCTTCTTCTAAAAATAAATATTCAATCAAATCTTTATCCTAAGTCCAACCCATAAATATATTTACAGAACAAAGATTCGGAAATTACAACACAAAAACAAATATCAGAAATAATCTAAATCAAATCGCTTGGGTACAAAAACCATATCAATTACAACTATACATAATCAATTACAATGAATTTCAAATCCCTAAATCTCTAATAATCCAAAATCTAAGCTCTAAAATTGTAACAGCAAAAATGACCCTATAAATACAGAAAAGAGAAGACAATACAGAAAAAATTAAGAGAAGAAGAAGAAAAAAAATCTGAACGCAGAACACATATTAACAGAAGAAGAACAGATTTGCTGGAAGAAGCGGAAGAACCACCTTGTTGTTGAAGACCGAAGTTAGAGGCAATTAGGGTTTCAACGTCTGAAACCCTAATCGCGTGACATAATCTCCGCCACCGTTGCTTCCGCCATCCGCCACCATCAACTCCAACTCACCATCACCTGTAAACAAGAAAAAAAAAGAGAAATTAGCAAAGCTCAGAAGTCAGAACACGAACTCGCGCGAAGGGGTGAAAAACTGAACTCAGCTTTTTGTTTTGCTTTGATCTTGGTTAAGGGTTATGGGTTTGTAATAGGAGAAGGTTGGTTTGCTAGCGCCGTCGCAGTGAGGAGTTGGCCGTCGATTTGCATTTAGGGTTTGGTGAGTGAAGGAAAGGGGTAAAACGAGAGAGAAGATGAAATTACTGTAAAACAAAAATGATTTGTAAATAATATGAAAACATTGTTATATCTCGTTAGAATCCAATACACACGCATACTTAATAGTATCATGCTCCCTCAATTATGTACCGTGTGATCTCCATCAGACGGCCATAGGCCAAGTCTCACCGTAAGACTATGCATACTCGCAACACACAAACCCCCCAAACCTCTTCCCAACACATAATGGGCCTGAGCCCAGTCCTTTTCACACCCCCTTTTTGCTATATTATTAAAACAACACACCAATTCACACACCCCTGCCTGGACTCATGTTTGGGCCTAATTCCCATTAATTTTAACACCCCTTGTTTTACTCGCTAGTTAGAATTTATATATATATATATATATATATATATATATATATATATACAATTATTATTATTATCAAATAGTGATTTATTATTATTATTATATTTGGTATTATTATTACCAATATTTATTTTCTATTTATTATTCTTATATTCTTTTTACTATTTAAATATTACTATTTTATGATCAAATAAATTATCTTTATATCAAAATTGCATAAATATTTTATATATTATTTGCATTAAATCTTTTCTAATCATGCATTAACGAATATCTTCGCAATTAATACGATAAAAAACACAAACAAATTATGAAATTATTTTTCGCAATAAACTAAGCTAATCAACTGTTTTTGCAAAAAGAGTTTCAAACTAGTTTTGACTTACTGCGCATTCAGTCAAAATCTCTGCAATCACTATTTCCGGCCAAGTGCGAGGTGATTCAAAATATGTTTGCGACCCCTAAAAAACACCAACCATGTACGAACTACGAATTATGACTCTGATTCCTCATAAGAGGATACGTAGGCATGCGATCAAAAATCGTGGCGAGTCTTTCTAATTAAAACTTGTGAACAAGGTAGATGAGTGGTGCCTAACACCTTCCTTTCGTCTAATTGAGTTCGAAACCTAGAATCTCTGCGAATTAGGATTTTTTTTGTTAAATTCCCTTCCCTAGGATAAAAACTAATAGTGGCGACTCTTAATTTAAAAACCAGTCGCAACACATTCATATAAATGACTAATAGTAAAAATATTGTATTATAACAAAGCCTCATTTATCCGTAGAGGCGCACGGGTAACGATTATCCAGAAAAATCATGAAACTTGGACAAAATTTTAAAAACTGCAACTTGGACAAAATTTTAAAAACTGCAAATTCACTTTTCATTTTGATCCTCACTAACTAATAGTTTCAATTTTTACCTTTTTTTTATCATATAAATTACCTTACCTCAGTCCCAAAGAAATTTTGGGCCAGAGCCTGGTCAGGCCTTGGACCCACCTATGCCTCCACCCAAATAAATGAATTTTGCTTGGCACAATAGATCTCCAAAGTTTTCTCAATTCTCCAAGAATACCTTCCTCTACAATTAAAATCCTTCACAACTTAACTCTTCCAAGCTCTCATAGCTACCTTTGATAGTAAATCTTTCCTTGTTTTTCCACCACACACGTATATCTTCACATCCAATTCCTGTTAAATCAACATCAGGATTTCCTTCAAACACTCCATGTTCCTTAAGCCTTCCATTAGCATCTAGGATTTTTTCTGTGATAGAGCCGTACCTGTAAGACAACAAACCAAGCCAAACAGAATTGCAACTATTGAGAATGCGCCATACATACCTATAGCAAGAAGAATTTTTTATGACATGGTGATATTAATTGAAAGCCATATATACCTTCTGCATTTTATATATCATGAAAACCAAACAACATTGAAAAGTTTGCAAGTAAATAGAAAGTTGTAAAACAATAGGTAGTTGTTCAAATAATATTATGCTATTACATTGTATCACCGTTATTTCCGCTATTTAACAACACTGGAAAGTTTGCAAGTAAATAGAAAGTTGTATAACAGGTTTCTGACTAACTTAACTAGGCATCCTATAGACGGTTTGAGAGATGGGACAATGAGCTCTCCACTGGTGAGTGCCACTTCCTGAGCAAAAGTGCAACAACGTCGGGATTATTAAAGATAATTATACAATAAAATAGACTGCAAGATCGAGAAGCGACTGTAAATCGATAAAAAGCTGTCGAACTTTCTTGATTTTGCAATGCAGGTCCGATAGAAGACGGAAAAGAACCCCTGCACGATAATGTTGACATGTTGTTATTAGATAGAGATGGATTATCTTTCTGAGACGCGTCTCGGTTCAATTAAACAAACAAAACCTTGAAATACAAATGAAGCGTTAGTATTGTAATGCTTGATAATTTGATAGTCAAATCAATAAAAAGCAATGTAAGTTACTATACCTGAATTCGGAAAATCGTTGCTTTTAGGTAGAACATAATTAGCTGCCATGGTCATAAAATAACAGAACAAGCATAAGAAAATTCTTAAATTAAGAAAAATATGATAAACTAAACACTAGCAGATAACAAGAAAAAGGTTGTTATTCAAAGCATCAAGTGGAACACTTTTAGAAGATCAATTTCATGAATACAAAGATCAAAACCAAATTATGTGGCTTCATCAAATTAAACATCAATGCCCCAAATAAAGGTAGTCATTTTCTTTAACCTAATAAATCTTGCAAATCTTAACTCCTACAAAACTTGAAAATCCAAAATCAAGCATTACTATAGAGAAGATATTTTAGTTTAGATGAGAGACGAACCAAAATTAGGTCTTGATAATCAAGCATTTAAATTTGTTGGCAACTGTAAGTGTTTGGATTGTAACCAAAAGAAACTTTCTCTATGTCAGCAAGAAAACTGACAGAAAGAACAAATTTATTCCTTTGTGTTTCATCTAATACCAGTTACCTGGCTGAGCAGTGGCAAAACAGAGGCACTGAGGAGCTGTGGCGACGACCGACGGTTACGAGCCGCGGTGACGGAACGAGGAGACAGAGAGGAGACCGAGCGAGAGGAGGGAGGAGACGGGGATACTGCACCATGGTGGAGAGCGGAGCCGACGGCGGTGGAGGCCGGAGGCGACTGCTTTCCGTTCTCGTCTTCTCGACTATCGTCCACTGTTTTTCTTTTTCTTTTTTTTCTTATATTTTTTTTTGCTTTTCTTTTTAAAACCAATATACCAAAAAAAAAAAAAAACTGACCCAAGCCTGAGCATGTGCTCACCCTATCGGACCCAAAAACCGTATATATATATATATATATATATATATATATATATATATATATATATATATATATATATATATATATATATATATATATATATATATATATATATATATATATATATATATATATATATATTATACATTATTACGAAAAATCTATTTAATAATGGTTGAAAAACACATATAATCACGCCGATTCAGGGGTTTGTAATTGTATATGCGACACTTACGATCACACCAATAACTGTTGTGTGGTAAAATATCTATTATAACAGTTGACGTAAATAACTGTTATAATAATTATAGTGGCATGAGTTCAATACTCAGCTATAATCAAAATTAAAACGCATTAAAAATAGTATTTTACTATGGTTTAACGTTTCAACCGTTGTGGTACTCGTAAGAGTTTATTATAAAATATGGGATTGATTGTTTTTTCCTGCCCCTCATTAACCATGTACAACCATTCAAATATATTTTTGAGATAATAATAAAAAAAATTAACTTATTCTTAAAAAACAACTTAAAAGATCTAATATTTTTCGAATTGTCAGCATCCTATAAATCACGATTTCCTCTTTTAGCCTATAGGATTTGATTCAATCCCAAATTCTTCAAAGTAATATTGATAATGGATGTTACTCTAAGTCTTTCATATAAAATTTAATTTCCTCTTCTTTTCTACTTTATTTTTTAAACATCAAGTTTCGTGTGAAAGATACAGACTGACATCTATTTATGAATATTATTTTGAAGAATTTGTGACATTGAATGAAATTCTATATGCTAAAGAGGGAATTATGATTTACAAGATGTATGCAATTCGAAAAAACATTGGATCGTCTAAGATGATTTTCAAGAATAACTTAATTTTTTAATTATTATGTTAAAAATATTTTTAAATGAGTGCAACTTCAATGAGGGGTTAGTGAAACAAGCAATCTCATATGATATAACAATGTCACTAACAACATTTATCAACAAAAATATCAAATTAATTTACATGGATTGAGAGAGCTGAATAACTAACCATTTCTTGAAGCTTTAAGTGAGAAGTAAATAATCATAAACAATTGCTAGTTGCACATGAAAAATCATTTATCAACTCATATTGTATGCTTGCTACCACCATCGTCATCACCATATGAGGTTCATATAGTTTGTGAAGCCATGAAGAAGAAATATAAGGCAGATGAAGTTAACACAATAGCTTCATACTTCTTATATTTATTTTCATAACTTCTAAAACTAGATGAAGTTTGATGTTGTTGTTACTTCATTTACTTTTCTTGAGTCCTACAAAAACCATGGAAATTATCAACATGTGAAACCGCAAACTTATTTGTCAACAACACAACATGCAACAACAACATAGAATAACATATAAGAATAAAAGAGTTATAAACTATCTAACAAGAAGAAATTCATAGCAAAATCAAGTGAAACATAACAACAACATACATGAAAACGAGAGAATAAGGAAAAAGAAGAATACCTTTAATTAAGAAAAACAAGATTGACAGCTATACTGTAGAATAGAAATGCTAATGATGAAGAAGAGAAAAAATGGATTCAAGGATTTTGCTGTGATAGATACGACGCTACTGTGAACAAGGAAGAGTTAATTCGCTTATATATAAATATACTCACAACTATTGAAGTTTCCAACCGTGACAGTAACCCTTTATTTTATATATAAATATAAATATAACAGAAAAGACGTGCTTTAACGTTAAAAGAATAATATATTTTAGTGCATTGAGTTTTGAACCCAAGAAAATCTGGATTCTATAACTATAGTTATGACTGCAACCGTTATTATATGTTAACATTTTTTAATAAAAAAATAAAATAAAATATTAGCGCCATGAATTTAGAGATGTCACCACGGTGTTGGAAGAATCGACGTCAATTAGGCGTTGTTGTTTACGTGTTTTGTAGTAGTGATATATATATATATATATATATATATATATATATATATATATATATATATATATATATATATATATATATATATATATATATATATATATATATATATATATATATATATATATATATATATAGTCATTGCTAAAATATTAAAAGGTTACCGTCCCTACTAAAGGTCAGGGAGAGACTCAAACATATTGTATTTGGGGTGTTTTAGAAGAATGATGAAGGGTCACCATTGTTGGTGATCTTAAGGTTTTCCTTAATGTTGCTCATGCGTTCTCTCCCCATGTCTACTGATAAGTGTAAATTGTAGTTATTTTTGTATATACTTTTTGTTGCACTTATCAATGCTTTTGTTAATATTTTGTGAATAATTCCCCACTTTGTGGTAAATTTGTCTAGTTTGCACATATATTTGTGTTTTCGTGTATATAATGTATCGTTTGATAGTTTTATATTCATTTTGTAGGTATTTAAGCATTGTTGGAGCAAGAGGAATAAAATCTCCAAAATGCATTTTTGGAACAATAAAGGAACAAGGCAAAGAAAAGAAGCCAAAGAAATAAAGAAGCAACAAAAGTTATTGTTCTGGTGTAGCTCGTGGGGCGAAGCCTGGGCGAGGAGCCTTCGCGTCTGTCTCATCGGGCGACGAAGGGGCGAGAGGAATGAATCATTTTTCCAATAGCCACTAACTTGGGCTCACTAGCAGCTTGTTGGGTCAGGAAGCGATGTGTCGCCGGGCGAGACTTCCCTTCGTCGGGAGAGGGTAGATATTTGTGGCCAATTGCGTGCGTGGCGCAGGCTGGTCCAAGGAAATAAAGGTCATCGCTGGGAGACAGTGTCTGGAAAGATTTTATATATATTTTCTTTTCATTTCATTTGTAAGGGTTATAGTTTTAGGGGGTTATTTTTGTTCTCTCAACTCCATCAACCTCATTTTTTGATAGATTAGATTAGAAAACAACACTAGGGCTTTGCTTATGGATGATTGGAGGTGAATTTCTCATCGACCGACGCTGACAAATCAGAAGATTTGTGTTTTATCTCTTCTCCTCTCTATGTATTTCTCTTTTGTCTAGTATTTTATGTATATTTACTTTGATCTTATATATATTTGTCGCCCATGGTGTTATATTTAATTTGCTTTACAAATTTTTATCGATTGTTGTCCTGGATTTTTGCTCTGTGCTCGGGATTTGGGTTATTATAGACATATACTGCTTGAATTCTTATCTAGGATGATAGTCTGTTAGTTTCTGGATTCTAGAGATAGATTTAGAGCTAACATTCACTTGAGTGTCTATAATTAATGCCTTTATGTTGGTTGTGTTTCTCTGAGAGATCGTCGACTGCTGAAGCGGTAAAGCGGCAAGCAAAAAGTAAAGTATTATTTTATCAGGTGATATTTAGGTTATATCGTATCGTGTTCACAGAGATTAGTTATCGAGTCGCCGTTCGACAAATCATTCGTTAATGATTTAAGGGTTTGAATGGAAAGGGTAAAAGTTATCAACAAAAATTAAATGTATAAAAAGGAAAGAAAAACTTATCTGGTACGAATATACACTACTTTTCACAAACTGAAACCTATTGTACAATTATACTCAACCTATAATACTCGTGAATGTCACCACATATCACTCATAACGTAAGTCATTTCTAACCCAAATTGAGAGGCCGACTGTATCACCTCAGTAGTGATCTCTCAACCACCTCAATAACACAAAAGTTAGTCGTGCTAATCGCGTCGACGATCTCTCAGAGAGACACAACCAACACATAGGCATTAATCACAGATACCCAAGTGAATGTCAGCTCTAAATCTATCTCTAGAATCTAAAAACTAAGAAATTATCATCCTAGATAAGAACTCAAGCAATATATGTATATAATAACTCAAATCCCGAGCACAGAGCAAAAATCTAAGACAACAATTAACAAAAATTTGTAAAATAAGTTTTATATAACGTCATGGGCGACAAATATACATGAGTTCAAAGTAAAAATACATCCAATACCCAAAAAAGAGAAATACATAGAGAGGAGAAGAGATAAACCACAAATCTTCTGGTTTATCAGCGTCGGTCGATGAGAAATCCACTTCCAATCATCCATAAGCAAAGTCCTAGTGTATTTTCTAAGCTAATCTATAAAAAAATATGAGGTTGATGGAATTGGGAGATCAAAAACCACCCCAAAACCATAACCATTACAAAAGAAATGAAAAGAAAATATATATGAAATCTGTTCCGCACGCGTCGCCCGACGACATAAAGGCGTCGCCCGATGACACATCACTTCCTCGCCTAGAAACCTGATGGCGAGCCCAAGTCAGTAGCCACTGGAAAATGATCCAAAATCTCTCGCCCCATGCTCGCCCGACGAGCACGACGCGCAAGCCCTTCGCCCAGGCTTCGCCCTACAAGGCTTGACAAACAACACTTCTTTATTTTCTCTTCTTGGTGCAAGCAGTTGCTTTATTGCTTCAATCTTGCATCCTTTGAGATACCCTTTGGCTTTTTATTCCTCAATGCTCCAAACATATACAAAAATATCTACAGAAAATATTAAAACTATCAAACGATACATAAATGAATCATAAATACAATTATACACTAAGTATAAATATTTACACAAAAGTCGGGTTTATTCAACCGAAATTAACAACAAAGACTCGATAAGTGCAACAAAAAATATTACAAAAATAGCTATAATTTTCACTTATCATGTTTTTACAAAAGAGTGATCACTCAGACACGATTGAACGAGCTTTCACATTTTCTCTCTTTAACACTCTGAAACTTCAAGTTTCTTGCTGAATACACCAATCAAATGAGAACTTCACTTGGATCTTCTGGTGGATGAGGCTTTATATA